GTTCCCATGGCAACGCGCGCCTTCCGGCCACGTGACCCGCCTCCCTACCCGCGCGTGCGCGCGGAGCCGGGCCCCAGGCCGCGTCCCAGGAGGCTCTGGGGAACAGCCCCCCCCCCCATGGGGAGCCCTTGGCGTCATCGACTGAAATAAATAAAAATGACGTGAAAAAGGCGTGCAGCGCTGGGTTAAACCTTTATTAATCCGGGCAAAAGCAGCCTTTTGGCGGAGCACACGGCGAGGGGGCACTCGGGGTACAGGGACTCTGGGGATGCCCGGTTGGCTCCTACATAACCCGCAGGGGCAGGGAAGGGGGGACACACGGGAGCTCGGGGAAATAAAGGCCAGGCGAGGTTGCCTAGAGGGTTTGGGTTCGTTTATTGAATACATGAGAGATCAGACAGACAGTGTAAAATCACATGTATTATTTGTACTTTAAAAAAATTACAATAAATTACCGAGTAATTAGTAAAAGCAGGTTTACTAAGGGCTGCCCCCCAGCGATACACAGCAGCGGAGGCAGCGGAGTGAGAAACACGTAACCAGCTGTGAACACGTAGGGAGACGGGCACGGACAGGGGCTAACACTGAGCGGAGCGGGCAGCGTCGAACGGGAACGGCCGCCGGCCCCGCGTCCTCCGGCCCGAGGCTGCGGCAAACCTGTCCTGCAGAGAGGACCCGCTCCCGGCACCAGGAACGGGGCCCTCGCGGCGGCCCCGCGTCCCGCGAGCGGCCCCGAACACCTCGCAGGAGCTTCTGGTCGTGGTTTAAAGAGTAGTCACTCCCTCTCCCAGTTATTTCATCTCTTGAGCTGGAAAGAGGTCTAGGCCTTTTAGGTTTCCTGCAACGGGCTGATGGCAGAGGCTGCTTCGAGTGCTTCCTCCTTAGGTGTAAATGCCCATCGGTGCTTTGCAGTTCCCAAGATAATGTCCATCGCCAGACACTTCGTGCAAGGGGTGTTCGGAAGGGACATGCTGAAGAGCTGCAGGTGGCACAAGGCTCCTGCAAACCCTCCGGCCCAAACACTTGCCTGGGATGGCTGCCGTGGCTCTGGAATCTCGATACGTATTTTGGTATCTGACTGATCAGAGCATTCCTAGGGGTCTGTCTCAAAATTGGACCCAGCATTATTGCCCGTAGGGATTGACCTCATGTTACTCCTGTGCTGGAGTCAAGGAGCTTGTGGCTTCCCTGACAAACAAAACAAAATAACGGCTTCCAGAGTTAGAAAAGCATAAGCTAGAAAACAAGGTGTGCCTAAAACTGTCTCCTAGATGTCGGCAGAGAAAAAAAATGATCGTAGGCTATGAGAATGCCGAACTATATCTGCAAAAAACCTGCAGATCTGAGAAACTCCTGTATTTAGATGTCACGCTGCAGGCAGTCGTGGGGCACATCTGCACTGTAGCTGCTGAGTCACAGAACAGCACTGAGGAACTGAACAAGACCAGCTATAGGCCAGGGTCCGACAGCACTCGCATACACTGCACGAGCTCTCAGAGCAGCAGCCAAAAGTGAGCATGGTTTCAAGCCAGGCTGCATCTGCTCTGCAGGAATCTACAGCAAACAAGGGCAGGCAAGGAACAGTCACTGTCTGAAATAAAACTTCTTTAAAAAGAAAGATAGCAAAAGGCAGACATGCATAATTCATGGTGGTAATTCTATATGTCAGGGGCTATTAGGTTCTAACGGCTCTTGAGAAAGTAACCTAATTCTTTCAGCCAGAGTAGCCAAAGAAGCATCTACACAAAATAGTCACTGTCACATGCCCCTTATCCACTGGAATCTATTGTAATTGTGTAGTTACTGGTCTCTGATTAAACAACAACAAAAAAACCACTTCACAAAATACCAATCCACCAAACTTGCCATCTGCCATGTTACCTCTCTGCATTATCTCACAGGACAGTAACTGTTAACCAGAGCTCACCCTGACACAGAGGACAGTTCGTAGTCGCTGGATGAACTGAACTGCCTCTCCACTCTCTTTTGATCTTTGATCTTCTGGAGAATATTGACCTTCTTCTCAAAGTAGTTTACAAGGGCTGTCTCTGTCAGCATGGATGCCAAGATCTGCTCGAAGGAGATGGACCAGTCTGTGTCAATGGTACTGCCATACCTGGCAGCTGAACTACTGCCTTCGCAACCAACCAGGACCGTGTCGTCGGCAATGTCTTCACACTGCAAGGAGCCTGTGCTGACCATGGAGTAGGAAGACATGGACATATCATCTTTGGTTTCATCATCTGATAGCAGCTGTAAAGGAGAGCCTTGTCCTTCCCCTGACCCATCTCCTAGAGTTTGGTTTCGTCACCAGGGGTTTTGTCCTCACAGTCAGCTTGGGGTTGCTGCTCCACTGCTGAATTCTGACTTTGTTCAGATGTTGGTGACTCCTCTTCACTCACAGGATCTTGGCTATTGTGTGTTTTGCTCTCTTCAGACTTCTTCATGGGCCGGTTGGAGAATTTTTTTCCAACCTCCCCGATCCGCAGGAGGAGACTGGCTACAGTGGCAATCGCGTGGTACAGCTCTTGCTCCACCGGGTCCTCGCTGAACATGTTGTAAAGAGTCTTGCACAACTCTATGAACTGTTCCTTTGAAAGACAAAGACCAAAAATCAAACTCCAGACTGCACAACAAAGTTACAGCAGTGGATGAAGCACCACACATATCTTGACTGGCTCCTTGTTTATTTGCCTCCCCACGAGTAGCAACTTATTTTACTGAGTCAGAACAGTTCAAATTCAGGCAAATTGCTCTCTCTGGGGCAGAAGCTAAATTGAGATCCAGATGGCAATGTAATAGTGGGGTGGTGGTTGTTTTTTTCTGACACCCAGAACACTAACAGATTAACATCTGCAAAACCAGGAAGCTTAACTTCTGTCCTGCTGCTCTTTTGTGGTCAGCTTCTAAGCATGTCCAAACTGGGATAAGAGCACCCATGGCAGAAATTAGAGACAGAAAAGACAACACTAGTCACCCATGTGAGCTGTAACCACATTGTTCCCTCTTCACAAGATATAACCGTAACTGGAGGCAATGCACAAACAAAAAAGCCAGACAACTTAATAGCACTGATGAGATATTTAAAACACTGCTCCAGAGGGAAAATGTAGATCACAGTTCTTCTAGGAAAAGGCAGTCTGGGAGGCAGATAATTTGACTAGCAGAAACAGAGCAGTTTGACAGCCAGATGCACATCCACCAAAGCATGGAACCAGACCCTACTAAAACTCACCAAACCAGCAGAACAGGGGAGATGACTGGCAAGGACTGAGCACGCTGGTGCAATGGCTGCTACACGCTACTGAATTCTCCACTAAGCTGCAAGTCCTCTAGCTGGAAATCTTTCACTTCTTACCTGGCTCATTTTGGGAAGATCTTTAATGGTTTCTTTCCTGGACTCCTTTTCTTTGGCCCACATTCTTAGGTAGTATCTATAGTCCTGTGGACTAGTACCTTTCTCTTCTGCAAGATAAGACCAATCAGGCGGTTAGTGGTTTGAGTCTTAAAACATGAATCCCATGTCAGAAAAAAAGCACAGTTCTGGAAGCAAGCTTTAATGACAATTTAGGAGAAGATCTGTGAAGAAGAATTTTTTTTTACACTACTACACCAGCTCAGCATCTCAGAAATGAATTCTCTCAGTTGGCAACATTTGAAAATCATGTCTGGCAAGTTGATGTTTCGGTATGTAAAAGAGTCAGAGCTGTAAAGGTGTAAAAGAGACCTTTCTTCTGGCTAACATCCCCTGTATCTTTGTTCATGAGAGAAACTTTGAAAGGTTCCTTTGATATAGAGAAGGGCCAATGAAGAATTGATATGATGAGAGAGACAAGACTAAAATGTGTTGAAAAAAGCCATATTTATGTACGATTACAAAATTACCTTTTTCTTGACAGCTCTCATTCTTCCTTCCTTTTTCTTCTTGTGTTTCTAAAAAAAAAGGAATTAGAAACTTTAATATTCAGTTTTCAGCAATACAACATATTGAAAACATAAGACAATTCAGGCCTGAAGAAACACTTTTGAATATATTCAAAGGAAGTTAGATCTCACACTCCCACATTATGTCTGGAGAAATGAATAGGACAGGATGGAAGCAAGAGACTGACTGAATAAACTAGAAAAAGCCAATCTGAACAAGTGGGTAAGAAAAAGTCAGTAGAAGGCACAACACGAGAGAGAGAGGTTGAAACACAGACATAGAAGACAACTAAACAATGCGATCACTTAAACACAAAGTTCAGCATGCCAAAAATGAGATTAAAATGAAAAATAAGAAAGCAAAAAAAAGCCCCACAAGGTTTGGCATTGCACCAAGTCAGGCCAGTAACACAAGGATATCTGAGAAGTATCTACACTCATCATTATTCTTCAACTGAGCTGCTGTTTTGGGAGCTATTCGCAGAATTTAACTTTAGGTATGTAACTTCTGGCTCCCTATATTGCCACTAGGCTATATGTATATATATATGAAGTCTCGGCTCATCTCAGACTGCTAAGTTAACCATCCAGCATCAAACAGAGCAAGTATCCCCCATGTTTATTCATGCAGGTTTTTGGAACATTAACCTAATTTGGCCAAACATTTAGCACAAATGACATTTTGACCTTCTGCTATTTGACAAATCTAGGATTGTATTTTAACAAACGCAGACTATTAAAGTCTACTGACATTTTTATAGTGGAATAGCATGTTTTGTTTAGTTTTGTTTTGTTTCAATTAGAAGACTGTGGAGGAGGCATAATGATAACATGAAAACCATCTGCCTGGACCAGCGAGCCTAAATTCTTGCACACTCTGCTCTGAGCACATTTTTGTCCAGTCCCTTGGGTGAGGCAAGTTCCTGAGAGAGACTGGACAAAACCTATTTTGACCAAGGTTAAAACATAGTAGGTAGAGCAAACCACGCACTGAAAGATGTTTAATTGCTTATAGTGTTTTGTTTACAGAGGGAGTATCAGGGGACAGGAGCAGCGGCAACTAATTCCCAGTAATTTAAATAGTGCATTGGTGCTGGCAGATAGTATCAGCATTATGGCAGTGCTCAGTGTGTGCACATAACTAGAGACTGACCTTGAGACTCACAGTGCAGGCAGAAATCCAGCTCTGAGACAAAAGGAGATACTGGAGCAGCAGAAAAGGGGGCTGAGGGGACAATATCCCAGACAGAACAGAAGAAAGGGTGATACAGAGACAGACACAAAGGAGAAAACAAAAACAAGAAAAGAGACAATGAGACTTGCATGAAAACCCCAAATCAAGAGGGGAAGGGGGCTGATAAAAACAGATACAGCACACACTGCTCTTCCTCAGCAGCCTACGACTGTGCTTCAGAGCATGCTGTGTCCTGCACCAACGGGTGCTGAGCAGCTTCGACTCCAAACTTCTTTCCCATCGTGCAAGAAAAAAGGCTGACCCAAATGCAATGGCAAATCTTAACATACTGCAAACAGGAGGCCATGCCTAGTGAAATTACCCTTCAAAGCACATGGGTTTGTGCTGCAGCTCTTGCCTAAACTGAGAGGTAGGGGTAGCAAGTGTTGTATTACCTTCTGTTGTAACATCCTCTGTGAAATAACTTGTGGCCTCCAGAGCAGATTCGGTCTCCTCTGGACTCAGAGCTGCATGTACAGAGAAAGGAATCAAAGGTCTCTGAGTTAACTGAACTGCAGCATCACCAACTTCATTAGCAAAATTCATAAAGCATCCCTTTTTAATTGCACGCCAGCACAGATCAGTATCAGTTGTAGCAGAATCCAGAAACAACCACTCACCAGGAGGCAGATGCAGTTTGTAAAGTACTTTGAGTTTTTCAGTGAGGTCGCCGTGATACATCCCACCTATGAGGAAGAAAGAAATGGTAAGAAAAATAGCACCTAGGATAAAGAACCACCCTCTGCCCACAGGCTCAAAACAGACCAAATTTCCACACTGTGAGGAAACACTAACTGCACACAGATCTGTGCAGAGGCAGTAAAGAAATCCATGGCAAAACTACATCATTCTGTGTTTGGAAAAGGACAGGAACATGTTTTGCAATATTCCACCATCTCCAGAAACACCACTTACTCATTCCTGTCACAAATTCCTTGAAGTTAATGAGAGAATCTCTGTTTTCATCCAGCAGCCGGAAGAGCCGCCCTGCCAGTACCGGTGTATGGGTGCCACAGGACCAGGGGGTCAAGCTGATGAACAGGTCTTTGAACTGCTCCATGTCTATGCGATACTGCTCCAGGTAGGGCAGACTCTGATCTCGGCGGGCAGCTGCAGCACGGTTATTTCCCCAGTAACAGCTCATCAGATACTTGGCCTTTGGAGGGAAAGGGTTAATAGGTCAGGTTATATTATAGCACCACAACCTCCAAGAGCAGGGACTTTGTTAAAACTCCCCCCAAAACACTGAGTAGGCAGCGAGAAGACATGTCAGGACACACTATTTATCTCCACAGTATTAACAGTGTTACTTCACTATAAAATAATATGAGATTAAGGAAGAGACAGAGATTTCACAAAAAGCACGAAAAACTAACCTTATGTGAAAAATACAAAAATACTGGGTCTGAGTAAAATGAAACGCAGAAGCTTTACTGCAAAGAGTACATGCACGATTTGAAACTAAAGTTCTCTTGCTGATTCAGCACACTGCAACTGAGTTTATAGTGACTTTAGTAAAAGCAGTTTAGTAACTTTCTAAAAACCTCCACTGGCAAAGAGAGGCAAAAGTCTTAAGTAATTTTGTCGTAATTACAGAATAAGTCAATAGGAAATTTAAAAATAAAAACTAAGGTGCATTTGATCCTAGCTCCCCATTCTAAGTGCTATGTGACATTCCTTTCAACTGTCAACATGTTTCGGTCATCTTTGTCAAAAATAAAAATCAGATAATAGGGTTAATCTCACTGATATCATATGTAACAGAGACCCAAATTTGTTTTTGACCCATTGAATTAAGAACTGAAACAGAGTCATTATTTCCTTTTTGGCTCATTCTGGTATTGATTCTCGTTGTGCCAGAATGCATCCTTACCAACTCTAGCTTCTTACCTTGAACACTACATACAGCTCTTCCAGTTCCTCAATGGAGAAGCCAATGTCACCAGACACAGCTCGGACCTGCAGTTGGGGAGAAAATAAGACTGAACAATTTATTTCAAAGCTGCATAAATTAAATATGATTTACTGAAAAAACACTGTAACACAGCAAAGAAAAAAAACAAATGCAAACAGATGTGACACAGGAGAAGAAAGAAAATGTAAGCATTCTGATACCTCCAGTTGCTATGGACTATAGGCCAGGAAGACAGTTTCTGGTCAAGCCGAAACTGCTGACATTCAGAACAGCTAATAAAAAATTACTCAGCTTATTTCCTGTTTTTGCAGGCATAAGAACAATATGTTGGCCCACCTTTTTGTTTTTATCTTTGGATGTTTGACTCAGATGCATTGAAAAATGGGAGTGAAAGAAATAATCAGATGAGATTCTCCACTTAGGATACGAGATGGTTGCAATAGATGTTGATAGGCTTCTTTGGCCCCAGTCCTGCCCACAAAATACCTCAACATTGCAGCAAACTCTCTAAATGGGAGGAAAGTAATTATCTGCCAAAGACTGCAGGTGAGTAGTAAAACAGATTGCCAGAAATGTAGAATATTGCAAGGCTTGCAAGTGGTTTTTATTTTCTTTCATGCCAAATATCTCATTTAATCATGCCCTAGCACTTTGATCCATTTTATTAGATTAACAAGAATTACATTAAGGAGGAAACTGAAAATCCATGAATCCACTTTTCACATTATCTGCAATTCTTTAAATCACTTTAAACTCGCTTTGCTACAGGGCAATCTTCCTAAATGCTTATAGCAAAACATGTTACATTTAATATGCCATTTGGCAGTTCATTTAATCTAGGAGTCACATACCACACTCTTCTTGGCTGTATCCTCCAGAGACTGGATCACTTTCAGTCTTTGTTTAAAGCGCATTTGTTCAATGTCATCTGCCTTCAGATTGCTAAATTTCTACAAGAAAAGGAGGAGACCAGGTCAGCATCATCTGCTAAAGACAGAACAACCACTATTCAAACACATGCTCTTTAGCAAGTGCAATGTCCTCTTGGAGATGATCTAAAACCACAGAAGTCTTTATTCAGTGGGAAAAAGATGAGAATAAAATTTGTGCCCTATTTCCCATTCACCCCTGCCCTGGTTGTACAAGGAGGACAAAACTGGGCCTTTGGAAGCAAAAATCCCTTGGGTAAAAACTAAGGCAGAACCTGACCTCATAGGATGTTTTGATGAGCTCGAAGATGTCGATTTCCAGTGGTGGATCATCCCCACTGGTCAGTAAGGCGTGCAAGTGGGGGATAGGTGGAGAGATGCTCTGTCTGTTAACCACATTGTCCAGATACCTGAGGGAAAAAAAAAAAAAAAAGAACAGACACAGGACTCCGGGGTTAGTGTCAAGGAAAAGAACATCCTAAACACTCCCAATTCCTTTGTATCACTAATCCATACAGGTGAGAAAAATATTTTTCCCAGCTAACCTACAATAGTATTCTCTGTGTCTTCTGTACATCTGATTTTCATTCTGTTTTTGGAATATCTCTTCTTTTTAAAACAGGGCTTCATGAAGTAAGCTGGAAATTCTTGTTGCACGTGGAAAAGATTCACATTTCAAACAAGAAAATCTTATATTTACTTCATTGGGGGAACACCTGTTTGCAGAGACTTTATGTTTTCAGAAGGCAATTCCGCCCAGGATTTGGTCTTGACAGTGAATCAAAATACTTTTGTGAACTTCGGATCAACAACCCTTTGGAGTTCGAACTCAAACTGAGCATCAGGATTTTATCATGCTACAAAGCAAACAACTCTGGAAACACGGGATTCCTCCATGCCTGAACATAAGCTGGTGATTACTCCTAGTTGTTCTAAAAGAAAAGAGCCGATCTCTCTGGGGCAAAGAGCTTAATGACAAGAAAAGCATTTCCTCTTAAAATGATTATCTATGACCTGCTATGTAATGGAAATCAGGAAACTTTGAAAGAGTCTTTTACTAGGTGGAAAGAAAGGGCAATAAAAAGGGTTCCACTATCATTTAGTTACTTATAAGTAAGAGCGATGAATGGTACCTGCCCAGAATAGTCATGGCTTCACCTTCATCACAGCACTGCAGCAGCTTCTCCATGTTGGCATCAAGTATGGCCAAAGACACCTGCAAGATAAACTTGATGCCCTCATAGAAAAAACAGTCAACAATGACCACGGCACTCTCAAAGGGCATGACGCTGAGAAAGAGAGTGAGAAACCAGGAAAGAGATATGGTGGAAATCACTCCCAGGTCCTGCATCTTTTCTGACAGCTGCGGGAGATACTCTCGTGTAAGTTCTTCAAAGATGCCTTGGTCCACTAATGCACCTGGAATAAGAAACAAAAACAGTGGGAGAACTCAGATTTCTTGGTACCCTGTTACTACACCCAAATAAATCATGCATTACATTCAATTTATTCTGAAGAAACAAAACATTCCTAAGAGATGTTAGCAGAACTGCAGTTGAAAATTCAGGCTCCAGCAAGGACTGGACAAGGACTCACCCACTACTCTTGTGTTGTAGTAATCTGGCAACATCCTCTCACATAAAGCCACGAGGAGCCAGAAAGCCTCTTCCTCATTGCAGTAGAGCAACAGCACCGATGTAACAATGTTCATGGCCTACGAGCCAGCACAGTTCAACATGCGGATGGAGGAAAGAAATATGAAAGACCTCACATTTTGTAATTGCTAACTTCAAAAGCAGGAATACAGCCGTATATTTCTATGGGAGTGACAGTCAGATCTATTTCCAGCTGTTACTGGTATATGAGTCACTTGGTGACCTTGAGTCAGTCTACCTTCCTCTTTCTGTTCCTCTGTTTGAGCAGATAATAAATAACATGACTAGTTTTGGTCAAGCACTTTCATTAATAAATCTGATTATATTTATTTTCAATGTTTTCATAAAAAGCTGTGCAATAATTTCATCATAACAGAAAAACAGAATGAGAATGATTAATAGCAGAATACAGAAAACAAATCTGAATTTCTACTGAGCTGTTCCACAAGCCAATAACTAGATTCATTTCAATATATTGACTATGTGTATCATAATTTATTCAATTTGTTTGCTCATATTTTTAGAAAATGATGTTTTTTTGTTAAACTAGGGAAATGATAACAAGGAAAACTAGTAAAGGATTGTGTCATTACTCCTAATAGAAACATGCAAGATATATCTAAAAGATATACTAAGATCCCACAACATCACCAACTTTCAGACTCTCACACCATACGGACAGCATTGAGGAAAAGCTTGAACTCAGCAAAAAAAAAAAAAAAACCTGCTGAAAAGGTCCAAGTTAAGCACGGTCACAGTATAGAACTACTTTCTTACCTGGCAGTACCCAATTGTTGGATTTCTGAATGCATAAGCTGTTAAGACCCTCCGGAGAGCAGCAATTCCCAGCTCATTCTGGAAGGCAGGATGTTCTGGCATGGAGCGGTGCAGATCTCTCTCAATTTCCTCTGTAGCAAGATTGTATTTTCCCATTGACTTTTCCACAAGATCTGCATAATATCCAGGATGTGTGACCATCTCGTTCCAAGCACCTGTAATGACAAATACCGTTTCACTTCTTGAGCATTAGAATGCGGACTTTCTGCCCAGTTTCACCAGTGAGGCAGCCAGGAAGCACTACGTGAACTCAACAATTACAAGGAGATATGAAAGGGTAAGAACAAAATCACGGTTAAATCATTAGATTACAGTGTAGGTCCCAAATTCAGAAATCCAGACAAGGAAGGCCAAATAGCTGCTCTCATAAATAGGTCATCTCAGAAAAATGACCACTGCATTTCTGTGCATAAGTTCCCTGAAGCACATTCAGGTGGAATTAACTTTCTCTTCTGAAATGTGCTCTGCTTTATATCTTTTCCTCTGAGAGGTGCAGAAAGCTTAATAGTTTTAGCTGCCAAAGTATCCAGTACAATATCCCACCTGAGAAAAGGAGCCACAGCTCTCCTCGGAGATTCTCTGGGATTCCTTTTTGCACCAGCTCCCTGGTCTTGGCTGTGCGATACATACACATCCCTCGCCCATATTCAAAGAAGTGAATGTTCCAAGACTCTTCCTTCATCTTCTCCTTTGCCTTCACAGGAATAAATATACCCATTTTAGGAGATCAAAGCATTTTTATGTTTGTAGGGCAGGTAGTTTCAGGGTACTCAGGCCTGTGCTTCACAAAAGAAATGCACTTTGACATTTAAAGGCTTTTTTTCTTCCTACTGCATAAAAGGATGTATGCTAATCTACACTGCTGTTCTGAATCACCTGCTTAAGATCAAGTCTTTAAAGGGTAACATGGACTGTGCAATGACACCACATTTCACCAATCTCGACATAAATACAAACAGAACCACAGTCTAAGATGATTTTTATCTAAGGATGAAGAGATACTAGTCCTCTGTTTCTTTGATAAAGAAAAGCAGTTCTTCACAGACATGAATTTACATCCCAGAAGGACAGCAATACTCATTTCTCAGCTCGAGCATCTCAGGTATCCCACTGCTGATAGAGTAAGCTGATGTTCAGGTTACACCTACACAGCTCTCTCACTGTGCCAGGCACAGCAGTGATACTACAGGGGTGAAAGAAGCCATTAAGAAAGTGCATTTTGAGAGCCTTAGAGTAAGGCAGGAAGTCTGCTACCTATTTCAAACCATTAGCATTAATTGCTTTAAGTTAAACTATTACTTACCCCTTTGGGTCCCAAGAGCTCCTCAGAATTTCTTCTGAAGAGTTTGAGCAGCCCCTGGGAGGCTGTTGGCACTTCCCCTGCACAGAAGGTGACGGGCCGGCTGTTGAGAGCGGCTGAAGGGCTGACAGCAAGCGGGCTGCTGGAAGGCAACTCCGGCCCTTCCTGGAGGACACAGATATTCACTGTGGTAAAAAACCTAATGCACTTCCCGAGCTGCACAACTAATCATACATAACACAGCCATCAAAAGCTGGATTGGATGCAGTTAGCAGAGCAGAGATAGCAACACTTTTGGCTCTTCCTTGATTTTTTTTTTATTCATAACATTCAAGAATTAGTCTAGTTTAAACCTTTCTCTCTCACTGACTTCCAAGACAACTTATGCTACTATTAGCACTGAACCAACAGTCAGTTCAAGACTGTAGGCAAACTTAAGCAGTGATTTCACTATGCAAATTACCCTCTAGGGAAGAACAGCAAAGCAACTGAGATAAGGAGTAGTAGAAGGAGACACAAAGCAAACGGGCTCTGCCAGCCTCCATCCTCTGTTAATGGTCCATCAAAGAGACATCATTTGTTGGCACACACACTGTAAGGAGCACAGCTTTGCGAAAGGGCCAAATGCTCCTCCTAGCTATTTTCTTAGTACCTCACAACCTGGATCACCAAAATTCCACTTCCATTCCCTGTCGCTGCCACATGGTTTCTTGGATGGTGTTCTCTGCAAGAAATCAGAGATCCTCTGCACCAAGAAATCTCGGTCCCTCAGATTGGCAAAGAAGAAAGTCATTTTACTTCTGGTGCTGATGGACAGTGGGCTTGGCAAGACACTGGAACTATCTGCTTTCTCAACAATTGTCACCTGGAAGAGAGATACAAGGCCATTAATACTGAGCAGGTTCCCCATCATTGGTAAAGTAACACACGAAGGCCAGAAACACATAAAAGCTAAGAAAGGACTATGGTCTCAGTACAGAGCTAAGAGATCCCCACCTCCCTGAGGGGAATGATGAGATGACAGGCCTCCTCTGCCTTACTGGCAAAGCAGATATAATTGTTGGAAACGAACATCTGGCCGGGAATGTGCATCTTGTTGAATGGTGTCCACAAGGTACAGTCTGTGTGTCCGTCCAGGCACTCATCCTTGGGCAGCCGGAAGGTGGCACGGTAGCATTCGTTTTTGGCCCGAGCATCTAGGTCCCTGGGGAAAATAAAGAGTTAACCCTGCAGGCAGCTTAATTCGGACCGGAAAAACCCACTCAGACACTAACACAACTGTTCCCTCCAACCACAACCTCCCAACTGTGCTGTGCATTCTTTGCTACTCATTTCTGTGATTGAAATAACAGATTTATCTGTGATTTTGCCTATCTGGCTCCTACAAGGATTTGTTGCAATACAAATTATGGTCTTTTTTTTTTTAAAATCTTCATATCTCAGCTTCAGACAAGGAAGCCACTGTCTCTTCTTTCACTCTTGGGTTTTTAACATTTTTAAATTTTTTAACAGGATTTTGAAAAGTTTCTGCCTGAAAATACCTTTGAACATCTCAGGGCACATCATGCATGAGCTAGACAAGAGGGCGCATGTGAATTAGCACCACTTTGGAATGGAATAAAAAAAAAAGAATAGGTTAATGATTGAAATTAGCTATGCAAACTCTGTAAGCCCCAATGCTGACTGGGGCAACTGGGAGCTACAGAATGTGAACATTACATAATTATGCAGATTTATTACTAACCCTCTTTCTTCTCTTTCATCTGTTCTCACTGCTGGAATCACACACCTTTTTAGTGCAGAGATGTTCTTCAGAGGCTTCCTGGGCTTCGGGAGGGACTTGTCCTCTAGGAAGCTCTCATTATCCAACAGCTGTCGCATAGCAATGTTTGCCAGCTGCTCCATCAGCTTGAAGGTCTCATTGATATTGAGGAACATGGAAAAATATAGCTCACTGTCCCGTGTGCTCACTTTAATGCACTCAGGGAACAACAGTGTAGCATTTTTTTCTAGCTGGGTTACATCCACCCATTGGATCACCAATGTCACTGGAAAAAAAGTACAAAGAAACTGCTACTGAATTTGAGGCAAAAAAGAAAAGCGATCACAAAAGAAGTGCAAACAATAAGTAAAGTAGCAATAATTTTCCCTCTTACACAAGAACAATTATTTTCTTCATATTTTTACTGCGCTCTCCAGAAATACTTGGAAACAGTCTTTGGACTAACTAGGCTAGAAATAATGCAAATCCAAAGGGAATATCTCCCAGCTGGTACATGCTTCCAGCTACACTGACCCAAATTTTCATTCCATCTTTCCAGCAAGTTAACTTTGGATCAAACAGTTCTGGCTTTGAAAGTATTGGGAAAGTGTGTCCCAAACAAACACTGAAACCAAACATTGCTTCATTCTTTAATCTAGGGGAAGTAAAACTTTCAGGTGTACATGTATAACCTGTTTTTCTCAGCCACATTTTCAAAAATAACTCAGGCATTTAGTCTAAGTTTCACTGAAGTGCCTTGAGTTTCAAAATCTGAAGAGAGAGCTTTGACTTGCAAGTAACATAAGTGCTTTTCAAGATTTTACAAAGAATCTCAAGGAAGCTAGATAATGAGTATAAGGATTGATCTATGGATTATGTGCTAGAGCTCAAAGGATTCCTAAAGGGGAAGAAAACAAATAGCTTGAAAGAAGTCCACATGAAAGATCAACCACATCAAAAAGATCTGTGAAAATGGCTGTTAACTCACCCTCTTTGCCTAGCAGGAAGGAGTAGAAACAGAGGTGATTGACAGTGAGGTACAGCCAGCCCTGCCTGGGTACACGTCCCTTCCAGTAGCTGCAAGAATAGTAATTGACCAACTTCTCCACCTCAGGCATCCCAAACTGCTTCCGCATCTTCAGTTCAGCTTCTTTGAATTTGCCTGGATCCTCTTCACTCTGAGGCTGCTGATTCTTGTTCTCTTCAGCAATAATTCCCTGTAAGAACATGAGAGAGTGAGAGAAAATGGAAGGGAATATGTTTGTTGACAGAAATAACACACAGGAAAAGGTCACAGAAGCAAACCCGAAGAGAAAAAGAAGAAACACGTCACAGCAGTTATAATTTCTTCTGTGAAGTTAAGGACACTGTGAAGACATCTAGAAAGGGCAGTGAGAGAGTCTGGGTGGCTGCTGAACACAAGCAGCTTGTGCTCATGTGTGACATTGACCTGAGTTTCTCACAGCTGGCCTGGTAACACTCGGTGTGCCCTGAAGGGAAACCTGAAGTCTCCTCTCACTTGTGACCAAGCTTCAACAGGACGATGATCATCTGCCAGGAAGTGCAGAACTCTGCACTCTGTCAGATCTTGACTGGCCAGAAGGAAAAACAAATGACCACAATATCTCTGTCTCCCTCCCACACACCAGCATGCACACACACGCGCAGAGCCTGACAGCAGCATTGGGAAGGAAAAGCTTCTCAGAGTCACAAGCATGACTGCTGACCTTACTTTTTCTCTGTATTATGTTAACCAGTCACTCCTATTTGTGGTGTTCTGGATATTGGGGGGGGAAAACGACAGTTATTGTTCAGTTCCCCAGCAACAGTATGGGGCTCACAGGAGGAAGGCAGCTGCAGTTTTTGATACCAACACTTGCAGAGGTCTTTCAGTTACACACCTCCGATAAGAACAGAGCAACACCCTGTCGATTGCGTATTTCTTACCAGTAAAGTTTTATTCCTGTTCCCATTTTCTTAAACAGTCAAGTTAAACAAATAATATGCAGTAGAAAAAGAAGCTGCCTGGCACTATTCATGGCCAGACCAGTGTACAAACCAAGGCCTTTCTTTTCAAGTTGCCCCACTTACACATCTCTACAGAAAGGCCGAAACTGCCTGAAACAGTTTTAAATCCAGGTTACTTTGTGCACTTAATATATTGATTTTACAAACATGTATAAGAATAACTGCAGCCCCAAATTGTTAGTGTTTCATGAAAAAAAAAAAACAGTAGATAAAGGTTTCTACCCTGGAGAATTTGTGGGCAGTGAATGTGAAGTGTGCTAACTGTACAACAAGCAGAAATGCTTGTCTGAATCTGAACTCTGTGGAAGTTAGGACATGCTTCCTTTACATCTTAGACCAGCACAGCAGCACAAATACATTGCTTGCACTCAAAAATTGGCTCTGTCTGAATCTGAACTCTGTGGAAGTTAGGGCATGCTTCCTTTACATCCTAGATGGCTCCTAGACCAGCAGAGCAGCACAAATACATTCCTTGCACTCAAGAACTAGCTCTCAGATTTGCTGCTAGATCCACCTGAATGTAATGTTTTCTCTCTCTCAAGGGTGCAATCTGCAAGGATTTCAGAGAAGCAGCACATTTGAAAGTATAACCAGTCTAAGCAGGCTGTTCTTTGAGATTTACTCTCATAATCCATTTGTCCTGTGTGATGGCCATGATGTGACACTAATAACACTGCATGTGCTTCACGACAACTCCAAACGAAAATACGCCTCAAAAGGGAGCAGAGAGTTCTGCTATGGAGCTCTTGCTTCCTCCCTCCCAGGGGTAAAAAAAATCTTAATATCACCTCCCCATTCTCTTTCAGGATCTGGAAGTCCTTCGGGGAAACATGTCCCTTACATGTATCTTGCCCTTCACGAATGTGGTGATATCTTCTTCGTTATCAAAGATGGAGAGAGTCTGCAGTAAGTTATTCTCCAGCCATTCCCAATGCTTCGTGATCTCTTTACGAGATGATCCTAATTGCGGAGATGAAAGAGGAAGGGGAGAATAAATAAAAAAGAAATTAGAACAAGCTTTTTTTTCCCCCCCCTCTGGGTTCACAGCAGGAAACTAATAAATAGAAGCACCAAATGTCAATCAGGACACAAAAACACCAAACTAAAGGATATTTTATTTACTCTAACACTATAATTTTAAAGAAATGTCTCCATTGGTGCTGAGGATGATCAGCACACCATCAACAGATCATCCTGTTTGCCAGGATGCAGCACAGTTTTTCCTTTCCAGACAACAGGCATCTTCCAAATCAGAAGCATTCTTTTAATTTCTCAGTATTCTAGAAAAAGTTTAATGAACTTAGAAGAACCTTGAAATTTCAGACTAACTAAAATTATTTTATGGCTATAGAAAGGTTCCATTTTTTGTGTGCAATTGTCAGCAGAAAGCACACAAAACAAAAAGAAAACAAAACAGACACATGTCAGAGGCTATGATGGTGTTTGCCTTCTTAAAAAGAAATGTTTCAGCAAAACTTAATACTCAAGTCTTCTTCAACCATGCAGCCCACAAGAGGAAACAAAGAAAAAGCTTCATAGTAGAACCCATTTAAGGAACTTGGGTATAGAAAGTTGTCTTAGCTAATGACTTGTAGCAAAGAAAAAAATAGGGAAGAAAAAAAAAGCAAGTGAATTTTCTAAGATAATAAACATCATTAAATGCAAACAAAAAAAGTAAAACTGTTTAAATGCAAGTTTAAGACATTTGCAAGTTTCTGTCTCTGTCAAATTCCAGTATTCTGTTTCTGAACTTCCATACAAAAGCAATGGGATATCTAAAAATGTTAACTTGAGTACTTCCAGTTAGGAGCAGCATCCCTCCCAGTACTCAGTTTCTCTTCAAGAACATTAGACCCTTCAGAGTGGTTAATGAGGGAAAACAAAATAGCATCGTGTAACACAAACAGCTCCCTAAAGCTCATATTCTACGAGGCTTTGCTAAGCAGCAGCTTCAGCAAAGAAAAAGCCTTCACAGTTGCAGTTGGACACCTAACCACACACAAAAAGACAACCCTTCTGTGGTTTCATAAGCAAAAATAACTCCAGGACCTCAAAGCAAAAAACAGAGAAGAGTTGGGCTCTCTCAAGGGCTGTCTCAAAGGGCTATGGATTTGAGATTCTGCACTGGCCAATGAACTAGATAACAAATACTTTTTCTTTGGCATCTGTGTATAAGCTTTCTTGAAGCCTAATCTAGCCACCTGCAAATGTTTGGAAGCACAAATGATTTTGAACAATATTAAATGGCTTCTTTTAGGGGCACTGGAGTATCAGAGGATGCTCTGGCCTTGGATTACATAGGTCCAGCAGCAGCTGCAGGGAGGAAAATCCTGTTTTCTCATTGGTTTCATGAGCTGTACTGCTTGCTGAGAGACAGGAGACAAACCGGTCTAAAAAGCGTCAAGCTTCAGCAATTGAGGACTTTCTATGAAGATCTATGATCTTCAAATATATTTTATACATTTCTCAACTGGAGAACCGTATACGCTTTTATCACTTTAAATTCACTTTATCACTTTAAAATAACACCAGTATTTTGCTTTTACAGTCAGATGATCATATGATATGATTAAAAAGATATTTTGGATGAAGATAGAGACATCTATTTTAGTATAATAATGTACTGAACTCCATATAGTTGCTCTATATCCCATATTTTTCTACTATACTGAACTACTTAAAGTTCAGTAGGTAATTGGGATATAGAGGATATCAACAAAGGCACTGTTGAATTCTACAAACATACCACATTCCTTGAACATCAAGATATTACAAAATTTCAAATCTGCATCACACGCAGCCACTGAGCATTCTGCTTCTTTCTGTTACTTTCTTGTCTGCCATTTTATTTTCCTGCTTTTATCCTCTCTGCCTCCTCCTTCCTCAAAATGAAAAATGAGTTTCTGTGAAACACACGGCAGTTTCTAAACTTCTCTCCTGCAAAATTTAAGTAGCTCTGCAAGGGAGAATATTATGTTGGTTGCCTGGGGACAGGACAAGAACAGGGAAAACAAGACATCAACATCTGTGGGCTTAAGAAATGATTACTTCATGCTCAGATTTTACTTCCCAACCACAACGTGAGAAGCAGAGATTCTTATATATACCAAATAATAAATAACACCTGAAGATATCTCTTCAGCAACCAGTAAGACCTAGAGCCTTAATCAAAATTCACTACCAGGTATCAGAAGGGTGTACAACAACATAGCCATCTTTGCCATCCCACCTTTAGCATCTGATTTATTTCATTTTCACTATGCAAACACATATTCCTTGGAAGAAAGAAAGAATTTGTAACAGAAATTTAAGCTCTTAGAGAGCCTAAAGTCCCTAATCTGCAGTTTGAATAGTTTTGAGAAGTTCTGTCATTTTTGGCACCTGTGCTGTCCCAACTGAATACTGCAGCAAGACACACTGCCTCACCAAAAGCCCTGGGAAGTCCTGAGCAGTCACAGAATATCTCTAAATGGGATAATAACTGCTAATTAGAAGAAAACAGACATTATGATAACACAAATGCAGACCCTGGCAAGAAGCACATCAATACCCACCACATGCTACTGCCCAGTACACTTGGGAGTCCTGAGTCTGGTGCAGGATACGGTACGGGGCAACCCTGGCGCTGGAATCCAAAACCACGTCTAGCGTTCCCACAAGGAGGCCTGGGAAGCAAAAATTCAGAAATTAATACAACGAAATACCAAATCAAGGAGCTGGGCTAAGCAAGAATACAACATTGACACAAGGGAAGAATGCTGAGCGCGCGTTAGGTACCCTGCTCTGGAAAACGGAGTCATGGCAATAAAACTACCTATAAACGAGCAACAGTCAATCCTGCTGTTAACGGTCAAAGTTTAGGCTGCAGTTAAATGCCTTCTAAATCTCATAATAACCCACTGCCTTCCTAGAAGAGTTTTGTAATAGAAGTAAAATGTATTTTTCTCTGGGAGGATCGAAAGCAAGGAACCAAAACTTGATAATGCAGAAAAAATAAAAAAAGGCATAATGTTAAATAAAAGGTGGGTACATCCAGAGCTGCTTAATGACATCCACCGGACTTTGTAGAGCAAATCCATTTATTTCTACGGTTAAGTCTATTTACTAGCTAATCCAAATATTTAGGATGATACTTTGCTCTGTCATTCTAGATTATTTATTACACTGTTAGTACAAATTTATTTTGCAACTCTCTTTTAATGCTTTCTAACACGAGAACTTGGGGAGGGAGCGTGGGCTGATGCGCAGGAGACGAGGGCTCAATTCCCAGCTCCCGCTCCTGCTTTGGATAAACCTGAGCAGTTTCTCCCCTGTGTCTCCTTCAGCACCCGAAGGAAAAGCGCTGTTTCTTCCCCCTTTCCCTCTCCTAGCTGTCCCCTTGCAGTGACAGGGCTGGTAGGTGCTTCCAGGGAAGCCCCATGTCCATAGGTAGGAAGCTCCTCCACAGAGGAACCCCTCGGGGTTTGGTCACCCCTGACCAATGTCCTGTACAACAGTCTCAGCTGTGGCTACAGGTTTCCTCCAGGTGGTTGTAGGTGGAGAACAGCCTACCTGTTACCTGGATACTTCCCATAGCAGGATCTAACGTGTCTCATTTGACAAATGTTCACCTGGCTCTAAAACATGGACCCTCCTAACTCCAAACGTCACCGTGCGGTCGCACAGCTCCCTGTGGGGAGCGAGGCTGCCAACACGGGGCCTCTCGGGACGACTGTGCTTGGAGTGAAACGTTTGTCACGCGCCGGAGCGGCTCGAAGCTCCGGTCACTTCAGCACAGTTCGGTTTAAAGGTTTAATCCTCCGGAAGAGCATCAGGTGTCGCTTCTTCCTGGGAAACCTGGGGAGCTGGGGGGATGTTTTATGCACTTCTACGCACAACAACCCAAGTCCGTTCTCGTGTAAAACTGCGCCTTGCGAAGCCATCCCAAGCACTGCGAGAAGCAGAGCCGTGACAAGGGTGTTTACGAGGCGCTGCAGGTGCCGCGC